AAAATTATTTTGATTATTTATAAAGATAAACAAGTTATTTGCACAGTCCATGTAGGTAAGTTTCACTCCCCCCCCCGCCCCTCAATCCGCCACTGGTGCCTAGCCATAATAAATCCTAAAGATTCTTAAAGAAGTAGCAGGATAAAACATGGACATAGACAGTTTTGATATGCTATTATACTTGATAAAATTCAAAAGTCTGTTAGCATCCAAAATTTTGAAATGAGCATATCTATTAGGTTGATTCATAATTCATGCACGTTTCTCTCACCTCTTCTTTCAAGAGCTGGTATTTGATGTGTAATCAAATCCCTCAAAAACCTTTTATGCTATCTGAAAGAGCGCTTTTTCTAGTATCTTATATGGGCTTCCGCTTTCGTATATCTCCGTTCATTCTAAGGCTCTGAGCCTTGAAATAAAAGAGACTAAATCTCAAAATTATTGCTTTTCACTCTTTTTGCCCTAAATCCATGGGAAAGAAGCGGATTAATTATAAAAAATATGCATAAGGATTAGGAAACTTTGTGCTACAAGATGCTGTTTGAACAAGATTTTCCATGGGTTCTGAGTCGAGAAATTCGATTGCAAACTTAAATGAGCGTCGCGGCCCTTCCGTGCCATATAAAACTTTAAAGCAAAAAGCGATCGCAGGTCTTTTGCACTAATCAGCAAGTGTAGACCTAGTCCATTTGATGGTAGAAAAGCGCTAGGGTTTTCTTACTTTCCAGCGGAGATAAATGAAAAAATTTCAAAAATGACCGATTTTTGAACCCGCCAAAATGCCAGAAAAAAGTAAGTACTTTCGACTTTTTCGCGATATTTTCTTTCAGTTTTTTTCCGTAAAATCCAAGCTTGGCATTACTGTTCTAAAGACCCTTGGCTACACGATGAGCAAAGTCTGCTTTATCCTACTTCATTCAAAGATAAGTTACGCTTTCTCAAAGTAGAGGCTTCTGAAAAAAGTTGTTGGCAATCTTCAGGCCAGAAAATCTTTTCTGTGATAGATACAGTCACGCAATAGTATCTATTTTATAGCCACTGATTTGATGGTTACAGTACTTTTTATTGGGCCCAGAAATGTTTTTTCAAAAAAGAATTATCTTGGTTGAAAGTTGAAGTACAGAAAACGTGCATTAATTATGAATCAACCTAATATAATTTGTAAACATGAAATTGACCATTATTTTGTGAAAATAGACTAATAAACAGTAGTAAACAGTCGTAGTAAACAAAGTCTACAGATCATTCGTAAATCGACTGTTAGAATTTCAAAATACCTCTAAATAATATAAGATATTTCGAAAAAAATTTCCGAGGTTTCTGTTGACACAATAAATGAGAAATAATTTTAAAAATGCTCCCTTTTATCATTTTTTTGCTAGAGAAGTTCAACTCAAGTGGGGACTCGAAATTGAGATTTTGAAAAAAGAAAAAAAACTGAGATTTTCGCTCTTCTTTCGTATATGCCGACCGTAATTATCTTACATATAAAGCTGAATGTGTGTCTGTATGTATGTCTGCACGTATGTGCGGAATAGAAATTATTTTCGAACCAATTTGGATCAAACTTGGTACACATACACTTCGGGGTGAGGTGAGGAGCGTGTCATAGGCTACTTTTCGTCATCGATCGATATCGATTTTATCGATTTTTATCGATTTTTGCAGAGTTCACCTAAGGGGCTGGGAGTTGGCACAGGGGGTAAGTGGGGATGCTGATTTCGAAAACAACACAGGGAACAGGAAAAGAAGTGTAGAAGTGGGCACAGGGAAAGGCTGTACAGGGATAGGGATGGGACCTTTATTACAGCGTTTTGACAGGGCCGAGCGGAGCCGGGTGTGCAAGTTAGTCCTCATTAAGAACGGTCAGCATGTTTATGATTGCAGTGCCAAATGAACTCAGTGGCGATTTTTAAGCAGTTCAATAAGTTTAGTCCACAACATCTACTGTAACTCCATCGCATGGTCTTGCAATAGAAAAGAAATATTAAGTATCTAACAGTGGCGGACCGAAAGGGAGGCTCCCCTCCCCCCGAGAATGGGTCACGAAATTTTGAAATTCACCTACTGGGTTATAAAAATGTGCAAATGACTTGTTCGTTCTTGAAAATAATAAATTTATCTTTTAAAAAATGTTGAAAATTTGAATTAGCCTTGTGTAAAAAAAATTTGGGGCGTGGCTGCTGACACGCCCCCTTTTCCCAGAATTTAGGGGTATGGGCCAGCAAAAAACGTTAAGAAGCAGCCCAAAAAATTGTCTGAGTGCGGACCAACGCCACGCACCTTCACTTGAAAAATTTAGTAGCTCCCCCCCCCCCCCCCCCCGGATGGAAATCATGCGCTCGTCGCTGGTAACTAAATATTTAGCTAAACTTCCTCTGAAAAAAGTCCTCAGTAAGATTTTTTTATCCACCTACCTCGTAAATCCACCGAAACCCCTTTTTGAAAGGTATTTTAAAGCGGCTGTGATATTCGTGATAATGTGCGGAATTACCCCACGAAGCCAACTTTCATGAAATCTTGTGATTTTGGGTAGTCTACCGTATCTCTTCTCCGCTATACACCGCTGTAGTGAAAAACGCGCAATGTGATCGTAATCAACACACCGCGTAACGCCACGGAGCGAACCAATTTTGAATCTGTTATGTGACTTTGGCTTTCACCAAATTCTTACAGTAACCCTGCTCTATCTCTCCACGGTGAAAAATGATAATCATATTCGAATTAGCGCAGCGAATAACCCCGCCAGATCAAGTTTCAGCCAATTTCGTGATTTTCGCGCAACTAGTATCCCTACCGTAACCTCGTTATGTGGGCGAATGGTGAAAAATGAACGTCATAGTCGTAATCAGCGTGCCAAGAAACCCCACAAAGCCAATTTTCACCCGATTTTGTGACTTTCGCCCAACTACCGTATACCTACCGTAATCCCGCTCCGTGGCCCCGTAGCGAGAAACGAATGTTATGTTCGTGATCAGCATGCGAAATAACCCCAGTGTACCAAGTTTCAGCAAATTTCGTGACTTTCGCCCAACTACCGTATTCCTACCGTAACATCGCTAAATGGTCCTGCAGTTCAAAATGAACATCATATTCGTGATCAGCATGCAAAATAACCCCAGTGTACCAAGTTTCAGCCAATTTTGTGACTTTCGCCCAACTACCGTATCCTTACCGTAATGTGGGCCCCCTTATGTGGGCGAATGGCGAAAAATGAGCATCGGATTCGTGATCAGCGCGTCGGATAACCCCCGGGACCAAAATTTTAGAAAATTTCAAATTTTTGTGTTCAACGGTGCATCATGATACCACCCACCATCATGCTTCATGAAACTCGGAGCAAAATCTACCCCGGAGGACTTTTTTCTGGACCTCTGCGTTTACGCACTATTTCTTTTTCTCTAACGAAACTCGGAGTTAACTCCGAGTTTCGTGCGAGCCTGAAACGCGCACCAAACTCAGAGTTAACGCGCAGCTGAGCTGCGCGTTAACTCGCGTAGCGTCTCGCGTGGAACGAATTACGCTACGTTTCCATACTTGGCATAAAGTACGTCTTGCGGGGTATCCTGCCATATAACCCTTTTCCCAATTTGGTTTGCTTATGCAGGTGTTAATGGTCCCCGAAAGGTGCGCGTTAACTCAGAGTTAACTCTGAGTTAACTCTGAGTTTGAGCTGCGCGTTTTGACAGGTTTACTACGGGCCCAGGTCATATAATCGCTTCGTGTTCATGATAGTTGCGGTATTGTTCCACGTCAGCTAACACAATAATCGTATAAAGTCGTTTATCTACATGATAAAAGCCAAGGGATATGATGAAACCGTGAGTGGCACAAGAGGAGAAGAGAGAACTACCTCTCAAATTTGGTAACTATGCACTCACAAATAAACAACTGGAAATACATAAAGCATTTTTATATAGAAACACGCGGTCACCGCAATCTGCAACAAATCATGTCCGGTCTCTTACCCTTCGCAATGATTGCTCGCCAGATATAGAGCACCGTCGTCTTCTTTCCAAGAAGGCCCCCGGATCTTTGAATATGTCCATTAGCCGGCAGACCCGGCTTCGCCTGGCCTTGTCGGAATTTTCGTAATCAGCATGCTCACTTACCTCCCGTGCCAACTTCCAGTCCCGTAGCTCAAACATTGCAAAAAATCATAAAGTTGGTATTAATCGATAGCAAAAAGCAGCCTAATGACACCCGCTCGCCCCGAAGTGAATGTGTGCCAAGTTTGATAGGGATCGGTTCACAAATATAAAGTTCTATTCTGAACATACGTACACAACGACATGCATACAGACAAACAGACATTCAGCTTTTTGTATAAGATACTGTCGTGTGCGCTGTGAGCTATATAAACTTTTCGCAAGATTAATCTCAGACTAATAGCACTGCATACTTCAGCTTCTAGAGTAAGATGATTTTGTAAGAGATCTAGTTGCCTGGACCAGATTCAATTTTAGGTGCTGTAGAACGCGGTTGTGTGACGACATTGGTCACTGCTACAAAGACTGCAGAACCGCACATTCGCCGCCCATAAAATAAGACCAGGTAAAAAGTAAAAGTAACAAGACAAAACAACTGTTCACCGCCCCGCTTGGTGATAATGTCACTCAAACTGGTCCAGTTCCCCTGTGTTTGAGATCTTTCACATGATCATAGTGCTCACCAAGGTCATTCTCTACATTTCTAAACTGGGGCAGCTCTAATGGCTGTTGGAGACTCAAAAGGAAATGCAGCAGGTAGATTTGACAACGAATTTTAGTGCAAGCACTAATCACTTATGCTAAATTTTAAGCGGTGTTTTGTTCCCATTGTTACTGCGATGTGCAAGTGCAGATATTATGTGTTTTTGTGTTGCTGCTTGTAGGCTTTGAAACATTTATTGGGCACCCTATAGAGTGCGCATAATCAAATCATTGACGGTGTTTCTGGACTTGCTTTTCAAACTAAAAAATTTGCAATTCATAAAAAAATGAGCTGATGTATTATATAATCTAAAACATACTCATGCGGTATTCCAGAGTAGCAGTCACCATTCCAATGCTACGATAAAAGATGACGGGAACAGTGTCAGTCTTTGAAACGAACACCTTATCCTTACCACCTTCTTCCTTGCAGAATCTGTGCAAATTCATAGGAGCGATTTTGATAGTACACAACAACAAAGCGCATACCTGTAACCCGTTAGAAGCTGGTCTTTTTGGGGTTTGATTTCCACTCCCGCAAAGGCGCAGCCACTGTTGGATTGGGATTCGGACAAGGCTCTTTTGAGTCTTATTTCAACCTTTCTTCCTCTGTCGGCCTAAGCCTCGCTATTGAAGCTATCCTTCCTCAAGATTGTAGTTAGTGAACGAACCTTGATCCAAAAGTGGCACTTTGTGAAATCATCCGACTTCTTGCCACTTGGTCCGAAATAGTGCTCAAGAGTCTGTACTCTACTGTTAGCTGTAAGAACTAGACCACATCCGGATGGCTGAAGCTACGAGTTGTAGGAGATTTCGACTATCACTTTATGGCAACCAACCTTCTCATCACATAGACGGCCTCCATATCCATCGGGACAAATGCATTTGGAACAGTCGCGTGGATTTGGGTAGCCACCCATTTTACATTTTGCAGAGGAGGCGGACTTGCACTTATCTGATATAAAGAGGCATTTCTATGGCAGCAAAATATAAAAGCGAAAGACTTTCCCCTCTGAGAGTTTTGAACGGAAAGTCAGAGGTTTCTAATCTGAGGGGGGGGGGGCTACACCTAATAAAGCTGAAAGGCTGCACAAGCCAACTCACCTAGACATCCATAGTGTTTGTTCATGAGAAGTATGTCATAAAATGACAGCATGGTCGATCCCATGGTGTCTACATAATTTTCATCTTTCGGTATTAGTGTGGGTATCCGCTCATCCTTAGCAAAGCTGAAAACTTTTCCGTAATCTACATCAAGAGGGGCAGATTACATACAGGCGACTTACGCGTATGCGGAGTAGTGCATCAGGCTACCATAGTCGTAAGGTACACCATAATTGTTGCTGGTCCTTTGAGTTTCTAGGTTGAAATCGGTGTTCAACTGTTTTGGCTAAAGAATCGTCGCTTCATTTTACTAAGCAATCGTGCGAGGACACTTCAGCTTACAGGAATGTTGCCTTTATTTAGCGTTACATAGTTGTCACGGTCATACCTTGACTGAACGTGGAACAAACCAAGAGTATGGGCGAGTTCGTGCGCGGCTGTTCCCACCTGGGGGACTTGTTGGAAAAACTTTTCATAATATAAAAATCTTATGTGTTGTTACATAGTGGCATCCTTGACCGCCCAAGGAAAGCTCTTGTACTTTGTGAAGGTTTCCAACCCAGGAGTAGCATCCGTTTCCTTCGAAAAACTCAACTCGCTCAGGAGCTGCAATGTCGCTAACATGTTCAAGAATTTGTTGCGCTGCTGCTCTGTACCGGTAGCGTCTTCAATCATGTCGATGCATGTATTGTCGTGCCATAATTTAGCTCCTTTTTTAGCTATTTCCTTCATCTTCGGGTTTCCTGCAGTGAGCTCTCAGTCCTATCTGCTCCAAATGCATCTGGTTACTTACTTGCATCACGGCGGAACGAATAGTAGAGGCCGTCGGACCACTTGCTATTGGTTTTTGTGGTTGCCTGGCGTTTTTCCCTTTCAAAGTTTTCCCCAATGAGTTCCTCCGCCTGCTCTCTGTAGTAATCGGGCTACACCTATGACATGCTTTTCAAAAAATCAAAATTTACTCTGTTAACACTATGTCTCCCTGGTACAACACATCCGACATTCCTGCTCTCTCATTTACCTCTTCGATTGTATCATCTGGTGCATTAATGGTGATGTTGAGTCGTCTCAACTTCTAAACAACTCAAAGTTATGATTATCGCCTGTAGGAGGTCATGCTTGCACTAACCTTCAATCTCTGCGTTAGGAAGGCTTCCTGCTGCGCGTTCAGCCTTGGTTCCTTCATATACTTAGCCAGTCTCTCGCGTATTTGCAGGAGACGATCAAAGTTCAGATTCTTAATGACAACATTCACCACATACAACAGATTTTGTATTTCACGATCTTACCGATTTCAACTTGGCTAGCTTTTCCTTCAGCTCAATTTTCGATCTCCAGTCGAGCAAGCCGGTGCTGACGCCAGCGAACAAAAGAAGGAGGAGGAAAGATTTCATCCTAAAGGACAGTTCATAAATTAATGCGGCACTGTGGAAAGAAATTGCATGCTATAGAAGTTTTGCAGCCTCTTTTATATCGGTATTCGATCCCATGTCGATAACATCACGAAGCAAAAAATTCTTTATCTAAAATGATGGCAGCTACAATTACATCCAGAACTGTTCTTTTTCATGATTTGGGTATTTGCATAGAGTAAAAAACAGCCAGCAGAGAACATCCACAAGCAGTCAATGAAAGCATTCCATGTAAAGCAGCAGCTATGTAAAATCAGAGCCGCTCGCTGTGCGTGGTATCTTTGTTTCAAGAATGGTATTCGAATCAAATTCAACGAACAGTTTTTATGTGGATGGTGTTTATGGAGTTCCGCATGCAAAGCTTTTTTGTAATCATCTGCTCAGAGAAGACTCCAGTTGAGGTCTTTGTCCCATACAAACATCGACACCATAGCAGTGTTCTCTACCTAAAAAAGTTTTCCATTTGAAACGACGCAGCTATGGTTACATCCAAAGCTGTTCAGTGTTCAATTGTAGTTATGAAAACATCCAGATTGGTCGTTATCATGTAGGTAAATGCTTATAGGACTCAAAGGTTCCGCTGAGTAACTCCATAAACACCATTCACATGAAAACTGTTCGTTGAATTTGATTAGTACTCTGCGTTGATACCACTGCTT